AAACGTGTAACGTTTTTGGTTTTGTTCTGATTTTGATATATTCTAGTGTTGATATGATTTTGGTATGGTTTTCCTTTTCCGAAGGATGGAGGCAGGTTCCCCAAAGCCTCCTGGAAAGGCTACCAAAAGGTCAAAAAGCTCTGGAGTTGCCCAAAGGCTTGAGAAAAAACAGCAAATCATACCAAAACAATAACGACACCATAAAAACATACTTTACATACATACTTCTGTCACTGGCTTGGAAGTCTTAAAAATAGCAGGAAGAAAAGGAAGAAGGTCTAGAGGAAAAATGTAAAACACAGAAAGGCGTCAAGAAAACGGAACCTCCAAAAATGTAGCTTACATTTATTCAAAAAATGTAACTTACATTTTTTAAGGTGTCCCTAAAAAAATGTAACTTACATTTTTTAAGCCCAAAGTTGCAAAAAATGTAGCTTACATTTAGACAGGTCCCCCCCCCCTTAGGGGTGGGGATAAAAGAAGACGAAGGCCTCCACACAAAAAAAAGCAAAGGAGGCGCGTATGGCAAAGGGGAAGAAGAAGGCCATCGACGAGTCCTCCTCGTTCAGCGATGACGAGGATGAAGGTCTGTTTGGGGAATTCCCAGAGGAGAAGGTCACCGCTGGTGCCAAGAAGGGCCGGCGTGATCGAGGGCCGTTTGGAGGTGGAGACTTAGTGAGATTCCAAGGGGAATCGTCCAGTGAGTCGGAGGCAGTTTTTCGCGAAGCCCCGCAGTCCCGAAGGCATCAAACCAGCTGAAGTTGATGCAGTACGCCAAAAGAACACCGGGCCGCCTGGCTTCAAGGCTCCTCTTGAAGATGGAGGTCGAGGGAGCCCAAGGGGCTGCGGGGGCGAACCCAGCCGATCTAGGAGAACTGACTCCACCAGCGGCCGTCCACTACTTCCATACGATGATCGTGCCGCAATTGGGCCAGCGCTTGAATCTGAGAGCCCACAGGGAGATGAGGACATTGTGTACAGCCCTGGACCTGTTAGCAAGAAAGCTGCCAGCCCACGCAGCAGACCTGCTGGGGTCTGAAGGCGATCGTGAAGAGTTGCCACGACGGCCATTGGCTGGCAGCACAGTTCCTGGAGCTCCTGGGGCCGGGCTCGGGCGGTCTCCTGGAGAGGGGCGAAGAGGTGTTCATGAACAGGGAACACCTCCTGGAGCTCAAGCTGAAGGGCTACATCCCCCCGAGAGGGGGCGAGGGCGGAAAAGGAAGTCAAGAAAAGGGCGCCCGAAAAGGGAAAGAGAGAGGAAAAGGCAAAGGAGGCGAAAAGGAGAGAGAGAGAAGAAGGACTAGCAGATGAGGCTGTCACCAGTGGGCCTGCATGTCCCCCTGAGACAGCAGATGCCGGAGGCCTGAAGGTCTTTCGCAGTGTTGAACGGTCTCCAGTTGAGCTGTTCGGTGCTTTGTGGAGGGCTTTTGAGGGCAAGGATACGCCGTTGTGTCGCCTGGCGCAATTGGGAAAGAGTCGAGGAGCACTTCTCGAGGACAAGTCCTCCAAGCAAGTGCGAGGCGACGAGCTGCTGCCCATTAACCCACAAGCAGTGTTGGCCTACCTGCATTCCTCAGGGCCTCAGGGGAGATGAAGGCTCAAAGTCGCAAGGGTATGGCGGATGGGTGGCGCATGTCTTTATGAAGGAGCTCGCCCAGGCCCAGAAGTTGACGGTGGATCATCTGAGACGAGCCTTGGACTATGTCGAAGAGCGAAAGCTGAGGTGTGGGCGCTATGAGGAGACGGCGCGACATTTAGCAGCGGTGCGCTTTGCTTACCAGGGAGTGCCCGTGGTGGTGATGGAAGATATCCGAGCAGAGAAGGTGATCGCGGCTTGGCCGAAGGTGGGTCAAGCAGCCGTCCAGGATGCGTTGACCTTCGCGCCAGAGGAATTGAGGGCAAAGTTGCTGGATCCAGTGCCTTGCCTGAAGCCTGTACATGCGTGGCCCCAAGAGCCTCACAAATCACGAGTGAGGGCCACAGACGATGAGTGGAACAAAGATGTTGGGGCCGCGTATGAGCGTGGCTTGATGGTGGCTGATGAGTTGGATGAGGGGTTCAAAGATCAGAAAGGCCGACCAGTCCTCAACGGAGCGGGAGCTGTGAAGAAGGAGAAGAAGGTAGATGGAAAGGTGGTGAGCGCACAGCGCTTTATTAGCAATCTGATCCCGAGCAACATGTTTCAAGACCGCCTAGAAGGCGACGGCAAACTGCTTCCCTACCTGGGACAGCTCACCCTCCTGCAACAGGAGGAGGAAGAGTTTGGTTGGGGGATTCAGAGGATTTCACGAGCTGCTTCAACCTCTTCCGCCTACCCCCTGACTGGCACAAGTTCATGGCATTTGAGAAGCCTGCGGATGCAGCGCTGCTGGGGGGGTGGCAGGAAAGATGGTGTACCCTGCAATGGCTAGCAGTGTGGCAGTGGGTCAGAGTCTTCAAAGAGGCCGAGATTCCTCAAGGGTCGGAGGTTGCCAAGACCCAGCTTCTGCCTGCTGACGAAGACCTGACGGTGATCTACTTGGATTCGTACGACCAGTTGAGAAGGTTCAAGAAGGGCTGTGAGGAAGTCGTGAAGGCAGAGATGTCCGAGAGGCACAAGCGCTTTCTTAAGGTTTGTGAGAAGCTGGCCCTGCCGCTGAACGACGGCAAAAGGTTAGTGGCTTCAACGTTGGGAGCCCTTCAAGGTGGAGTGCTTGACGGTGAAGAAGGCCGCTTTGGCCTTTCAGTTCAGAAGATGGTTGAAGTGATCACCTCACCTCAGGAAGCACCTTGTTGGCCACGAAGGCGAGTTGAGGCACTTTGTAGGCAAGGCGACCTTCGGACGTTGCTTCAGGCGGCCGCTTTTCGCTATCCTGGAAAGCGTGTTGGAGGAGATCAATGTGAGGGCCAGCCAGAACGACCGTGAGGTGCCCCGGCCAGGCGCCTGGGACGAGGTGGCCATCAGGGTTCTCCTCACCCCTCTCATGTACTCGTACTTGAAGGCAAGAATCGACCCAGAAGTGTCGGTCACAGATGCCTCGCCATCTGGTGGAGGAGCAGCAACAGCCGTAGAGTTTCAGTCAGCTCCATGCACCATTGACGTTGCAGGGCCGATGGCCGAAAGCCTGGCTTTGAAGGAGAGCTTTTTGGTGAAGGGCCAGGAAAAAGAGCACTTGGCTACGTTGCTGCGGCAGGCTACTAACCGAGGTTCAGATGTGAGATCGTTCCTCGAGGTGGATGGAGAGATGCACGAGCAACTTTTTTTTGGCTATGAGATGGCAGTGGCGGACGGCGATGTCCTATGCATGGCACCAAGAAGCTCATTTCAATGAATTAGAACTCTTGGCAGTGGCTGTCTTCCTGAAGAGACGTGCCCGGACACGATCCAAGCAGCATCTACGCTTCTTCCACATGCTGGATTCTATGGTTTCACGTGGCGTTCTGGCAAAGGCAAGGAGCAGTTCGCGGAGGCTGAACAGTGTGGCTCGAAGGTGCAGTGCCTACATGTTAGCAATGGACAACTATATGTTCCCGCTCTGGACCATCATTGGATGGTACTTTGCGGACAAGGCTAGCAGAGCTCATGAAGCGTAGCAAAAGGAGCTTGCAGTTTGCAGGCCTGCGCCCAAGAAGACTTCGAGCCTACCGCACAGCTTTGGATCGTTTTCTCAAGTATGTCTCTCGCAAGCGTTTGAGCATCTCCAAGCCCCATCGGCTGGATCGACAGGTTGCTGAATTCATTGATACTTCTTACCAAGAGGAGCTATTCCGGTCACCTTTTGTCGGCACTGAAGCGTTTTCACCCAGCACTTCGTCTGGAGTTACCCATTGCAAGCCAGTACTTCCGGAACTGGCAGCGCTGTTATGTTCCCACTCGTGCCGTGCCAGCACATTGGGAATTGGTGGAGGCCATGATGGGCTTGGCTCACTCGCGAGGTCTGCACAGTTTTGCGCTCCTGGTAGCCCTGGGCTTTAATGCCCTGCTGAGGACAAGTAAGATGCTATCACTGTCTCACCAGCACTTGGTTCCTCACCGTCGTGGCCAGGCCATGACCGTTGTCATTCCAGGGAGTAAGACCTCGCAAGGAAGTCTTCAAGTCCTTTTGGTTGTGGACCCCACCTTGATTGCCTATGCCTCCTCGCTTCGCCAGCCAGGGGACAAAAGCCTTTTGTGGCCTGAAGGCCCGCATCGATTCCGGCAGCTGTTCGCTTCTTTCCTATGCCAGTTGGGCTTCGCTGAGGATGACTACACCCCCTACAGCTTGCGCAGGGGTGGAGCTACATGGTTCTTTCAGACGTCCCTTAGTTTGGATGCAACCATAGCTCGTGGTCGCTGGTCGTGTGGCAAGACAGCAAAGCAATACATCGATGAAGGTACCTACCAATTGGCGCAAGTCAACTTTACCCCGGCTCAGAGGTCCAAGATTCGGTCATGGCGACTGAGTTTCTTGCGGCTGCGCCAGGTGAGCAGGAAGCGGAAAGGGTGAGTCCTCTTTGTTTCGAAAATCTTCCTGCAAGAAGTTGGAGTGGTGAGGCCTACAAGAGGCAGAAAAGACAGACCATGCAAGATGGATCTGTTCGAGACAGACCATGCAAGATGGATCTGTTCGAAAGCCCTCTTGAGGGCAGCAGCTGCAAAGGCAGACCATGCAAGATGGTTCTGCTTGAAAGTCCTCTTGAGGACAGTAGCTGTGTTTGTTTCACGGGGCTACAGCGGCGAGCTGGCTTCACTTGAAGCAACTGAGGGGTGCTCCTGAAAAAGAGTGCCCAGCTGCTTGAGAAGAGAAGAGGGGGACATTGCACTGAGTAATGCCTCGACTCTACTGAGTAGAGCTACGATGATATGTCCCCAAAACTCTTCGAAGCTGTTTGGCTGCCCACCATCCTTCCCCTTTCACCACCGTCAGTGCAGGTGTGCTTTTGGGGTTGGTGGCGCCATGAGGCCTACAAGAGGCAGAAAAGACAGACCATGCAAGATGGATCTGTTCGAGACAGACCATGCAAGATGGATCTGTTTGAAAGCCCTCTTGAGGGCAGCAGCTGCAAAGGCAGACCATGCAAGATGGTTCTGCTTGAAAGTCCTCTTGAGGACAGTAGCTGTGTTTGTTTCACGGGGCTACAGCGGCCAGCTGGCCTCACTTGAAGCAACTGAGGGGTGCTCCTGAAAAAGAGTGCCCAGCTGCTTGAGAAGAGAAGAGGGGTACATATATATATATATATATCATTTGAGCCTTTGTGTCAGGCGTTCCTTGTAGTAAACAAATAAGAAACAAATAAGAAAAATTTGGGGGAGTGGCCCAAAGGCGAGGTGAAAACGAGGTGTTGAGATTCAACGATAATGGCGACAAGATGAGAAGTTAAGCCTTGAAATTTGGCCTGAAGACAAGCGTTCTTAGTTATCAACTTTCAACTGCATAGTCACTTATTTGGGAGAGCCATAGTAAAGACTTCGGAGCAGATCGGAGCAGGTACTGTAGCAGGTTCCGGAGCAGGTTCCCGAGCAAGTTCCAGAGGAGGTTCCAGAGAAAGTTCCGGAGCAAGTTCCGAGGAGGCTCCGGAGCACTTTCTGGCAGAAATTCTTGCTCTTGACATTAGAAAGCTGGGCTTTGCCTCACGCAACTAGATTCCTCCACAGATCACCCCCAGAGTGAAGAGAAGAAGAAAAAGCATACACCGGCAGTGGACGGTTCAAACCAAGCAGGAAAAGGTGAAAAACTGGACAGTTACACAAAGGTAGATGTAGGTGGAGCAAGGTAGGAAGCGAGGAAAAGCCAAGCCAAGGAAGTTTAGTTGAGACACTTCAACTACAAAAAACTGTTCAGGCAACAGTTAGCATCATTAGCGCAGGCAACAGTTAGCGTAGACCAGTAGCCAAGTTCAAGAGTTGGCGTAGACAGTAGCCAAATGAAGAGCTAGCCAAGTCCACAAGTTGGCGTAGACAGTGGCTAAGTGAAGAGCTGGCCAAGTCCATGAGTTAGCGTGGACAGTAGCATACAGTAGCTATAAGTGAAGGACTAGCTGAGTCCACATGTGCACGTCCATGAGTTAGCGCAGACAAAGAGCCAAGTTCCATGCTTTCGACGCAGAGAGCAGAGGCATCCGCGAAAAGAAGGTACGCTTCGCAGAACCATGGCAGAGGCATATAGAGAAAAACATATAAGGTACCAAAACATCAGCAGCAGCGGACGGAAGCGGATGAGCAGTCAACTGGCAGAGACATGAAGCAATGAAAAGTTGACAATGTAAGGTGCCATCCTTCTCAAAACCACAAGGCTCACCAAACCCAGCTTGCCCTACCATAATCCATCCTCGCCCACATTTTCTTTAAAACTGGCTCGGCCTTAAGCGTAGGTTGTAGCTTCAGGTGTTGATGCGGTCAGATGCTCCAGGGCCAGGAACTTTGAGACGGGAGGGGGGCCCATAGAGCCCTCTACAGTTGGACATTTTCCTGCCTGAATGTTCTCCGAGGGCAGCGCCCAGCGTTCCTCCACTATCTCTTTTGTCAGCACACAGCCCCTTGGATTAGTGGGGAAATGCAATGGCGGTCTTCGCATTCAAATGCAAGGTCCGGCTACTGCAGCAGCCTTTGCTCCAAACCCGCTGGGATTGCACAGGCGGCTGGCCGCTGGATATGAGGCATGGACTGTCATTGGCTATGCGCAGCTCTTTTGGCCTACAAAATCATACAAGATCCGAGAGAGAGAGAGAGAGAGCTCTGTGTGTGTGTGTGTGATATGAAAGTTGATGGTATATTGGCATATGCGTGCCCAGAACAACACCAAACACGTATTTCATATATTTGCTTATGTGACAGCTTTGGTACGCCGCGTGCCATCTCCCACCACAGGATGGAGTAGTTCGAATTTGGCGGCCTGCAGCTCCGAAGATTGATGCCGAGCTCGATCCTTGTGCCGTTCGGTTTGCTGTTTCTAAAAGTTTCTCAACGACTACCGCATTCAGCAGCCTTGCTCCACCGTAGCAGCTCAGGCTAGTTGGGCATCTTGATCACGTGCAGGCCCAACAAGTGCTTTCAAGTTCAATAAGACTGAGCCAGAGCCAGTCCAAAGTGCAAAGACAATGGCCCGGACGGAGTTCGCTCGTTTACAGCAGGCTCTTTCTTGGTCTCCTGATGGCACGTGGCTGGCTTCAGCAGGCGGAAGAACTGACCCTTCGACCCCCAACATTTACACTGTGCTTTTAGAGAGACAGGGTTTGGAGAGAATGGGATTGTACGCGTAGAGACGCCAAGCCATGCGAAAAGCAGGTGCTGCCTGAGGGACAGGGAACCTGAAGGTTAGTAAGTTGATAGCACAGAGCCCGGGCTGCTGGCTATAGGAAAGCTTGCCCAACTTGCACGGGCTCTTACGGAAAGGAAGGTCAGATTCAGATTTTGTTGCGACCAGAGCCTGCTGAGTCCAACGTTGAAAGAATCAACATGAATCAACATTGTGGGAGTCGATCGGATGTTTCTGCATCCAGGCCAGGCAACGGTTTTGGATTGGCTTTCATAGGCTTTCATAAGGCAGCAGTGCTGAAAGGTGATTGTTGGAGGTGTGTGAAGCTGGAACGCATGCGCCGAGGGGTGTGCTTGCCCAAAATTTTTTTGGTCCCTAGCCTTACACCTTGGCCTAACCGGCAAGAGGCCATCGCAGGAAAAGCTGGAAAGCTAGGGTCGGGTAGCAAGACAGACGGCAAGATGGCGACAAAGAGTTCGTGCCAAATTCCTGAGGGCTTACTGATACTGTACTCAGGATACGCAGTCTGAGGCCTCGGATGGTCGGGGTTGTGTTTGGGTTGAGAGTTGTGTCAACTAGAGTACTTGAAAGGCCCAACAGACTCCATAAGGCCGAACGGCATGACAGTGACCCAGCCCAAGGCATCGTGCAAGAAGGTAGCAAGCTAATCGGCGGTTGTATTGCGTACGCTGAGAGGACACATCCGCTGGCTAGGATGCAAGAGATGCACGGCACTTCTAGAATCTACTAATCCACGGTTACCATTGCAACACCATAGAACCACACGGTGCCAACTGGCAAAAGGCCAATCGTGGGCTTTTGGTACTTTGGCCATGGTTGGCTGTTACATGTCATTGTTTCAGGTTGGGTGCCTAATTATTTGACAGACTAGTGCTGCACTGTAAATGTTGGACCCGGTCTGACAGTCGTCCGTTTGAATTTATGTAATAGAATATGTATATATAGTACAGTAGACAATCTTGAAAGCATTCAACGATCCAATGTCCAGCAAGGGCAACCTGGCAAAGAGTTTTAGTTGTTACGCTGTGCCACTACAAACAATACAAGCCAAGTCTAGAACAGGAAGGCGTTTGCGTGGCAGATTTGAAGTTGGATTTCGGCCACGTTTGGAAATGGGGAACGTAGCATGTGAGCTGACAAGTCGTTCGCCACTGGAGCTATTGAGCCGACGTGTTCGGGAGGGCTTGACGGAAGCCTACGTGTGTGGTACCCGGCCCCGAACCTCAGATCCTTGAAGTGGAAGCGACCGGCCAAATAAACCTGGACCCTCAGGCGCCGGATCATCCTTGCCCAAAATGGCAGGCGATTTGGGCAAGACCAGGTGGCAACATGCTCCGACCTGAATTGTTGATGGGCGTTGATCATGCTGGTGGCACGACGTTGGCGATTGGCAAGGCCAGACTTTGACTGGCAGAATGTCATTCTAGGGCACTTGCATGCGCCTGAGGGGCAGACGTGCTCGAAGGTTTTAAACAAACTTGAACATTTTCTCTTCTGAGGTTATCGATGGACCCCCTCAACATCACAGAGGAATGACTTGTTCTCTTCAGTTTGCATTGTGTTTGGGTGCGCGACGCACTCAACAGGAGCCATTTGTGCAGTTTGCAGAGTCGCTTTCCAGCGACGACTTGGCAGACTTAGGCTGCGGAGCCAAAGTGTGATCAGTCTCTGTATCCTCTCCGCAAAAGCATCTGCATGCCTTTAGTTCTAAAAGGAGGGCCATTCTTCGAGGATGTTTTTTGTGTTGTGTTTAGGGATTGCCTTTTGAATTTGCTTCTTGCTTTTCTGGCTTTTCATTGCTTCTCTATGATTTCGACTGCTTTTCTTGCTTTTTTGTGCTTGTCTTACTTTTCCTTGCTTTTCATTGCTTCTTTGTGGTTGCTCCTGCTTTGCTTGCTTTTCCTGCTTCTTTCGCGCTTCGCTTGCTTTTCTCCTGCTTTTCTTTACTTTCCCTGTTTTAATTGCTTTTGCTTGCTAAGTCCTTTCTTGTTGCTGTCGCTTTTTAATAGTTGCTTTTCAAGCCTTGAGTTTGCGTTGCTTTATTCTTGCTTTTCTAGACTTTTCTTACTCTCTTTGTTTGTTTTCTTCTCTACTGGTTGTTGTGTGTTGTTTCACCTTAAGGGGTAACCCAAGTGCAAAGAACGCAACTCTTTCATTCTTTACTCCCTTCTCAATTATGATGCACTTGTCTCATGTTTGTTCGCCCTGCGGCCGGAGTCTTTTTCTTGCCTTGTGGTCCAGACATAGAGCATGTCCTCCTGGACAGTTATTTCTTCTCCAAACAGCTAGCATTCCAACGCCACGCTTGTTGTTGAGGCCATTTGACCATGAAGCGGGCCGGGCAACAGTGTCAAAAGGCATGGGCGAATTGTTCCCGTGATCTGATCGCATGGGGCAAATGTTTCCGCATGCGCAGGCAGGTTCGGACTGCAAGTACGACATGCACACACACATGCTACACTCACATGATAGTACTGCTCCACGCAACTTTGTTGGTGCTGTGCTGTGCACCCTCCGAGCGCTTTATAGACTTTATACCGCTATCCTGCAACCATACGCCACGAGTTTTTGGGAGGCCTGCGGCAACTTTCGGGAGATGGCAGCAGAATTTTGTGAGTCATGCGCCTAGTTGCACCCAAAGATGCCCTCCAGCGCTTAGCATGACAGGTGCGGGCCCAGCTTGGAATGTCACATCCTGGGGTGGGACGCTCAGAACGCAAACCCGAAGCACTGGGCTTGTCAAAGACAGAGTGAACGGAGTGCAGAAAGGACGTGCTTGCCAAAATGTGGCTTGGAGGCCGGTGAACCCTCGGGACTGCGTTCTCAAGCAAATCAGAGCATTTCAATAAGTGGAGCAGGCGTACATTTGGCCACGAGCTCACCACCAAGGGCTTACTGCTGTGACAGTTTCGCGAAGGCCCCAGGTATTTACTGCACTTGCCAACGGGTGAATTATGCATCCAGTCACGAGCAGCTCAGCCACCTCAAGTTTATGTATATATTTGTGTGGGAATTGCATTGCTGGAGAATGATGGAAAGTGCAAAGGTGCAAAGTCAGCAAGACCAATTTTGTGAGTAGCATGAGCGTGCATTCAATTCTGTGTATTGGGAAGCGTAGCCATGAGTTTGTTTGTTTAGGAGACCGATGCAGCACACTTCAGATCTTCAGTGCAGTTGAACGCATGTGACATCATGCGCTATAAAGCCGCGCCCTGATGCAATGTCGCCTTTCTGGAATGTCGAGATTGGTGCGCATGAGGTGCGCTCTTGAGACGCTTCAGTTCAGTGTGAGCCGTGAGTTTCTGACCGAGATTTGCCACTCATTGCAAGAAAGTTTTGAAGAGTATGTGACATATGGGCGCGCGTGCTTTTCCGGGCCTCCTGTAAACCCTAAAAGATAATATATATACAAATACAATCACATACATAACATCAAATAACACACCCAGATATACATATAAATATATATATATATTTTCTAGTTTCTTTTTGTTTCTTGGGTTGTTGTTTTGCGATGCTTGCTCGCTTTCTCACTCAGTCCCGTTGTATGAGTTCCGTGGCTTTCGTGCTTTGTTCCGTCTAAAGTTTCTGACACAATTCCCAAACCGGCATTTTTGCCACGCCATTCAATTGCGCCTCATTCGGAGGATCTTTGCGGCTTTGCTCCTGTTTACCACTTCCATAGCTCATAACTGTCCGCAATCTGGACTCGACCACAGAATCTGTCAGCTTTCTAGCACAATTTCCTTTGACTGCTTAGCCGGGTTGCCAGGCTCAAATTCGTACCGCCCTGGACTGCTGCAAGCGTTGGATTCACGCGGACCGAGAGGCCTGGACGAGTTCTTCTTAGCTGCGCACTGTATGTATATGTCATGGTATATAGCGACGGACTGAAGCTTAGAATGTCGAGCACTCATCGACGCAGATCCAAAACAGGTGAAAACACCCGAAGCGAGGGGAGGACCCCCTGTTGTAGGTAAGATTTGCCACAGAAAGGTCTTTTTGGGGGCATCACGTAGAATGTCGGAGTCCAAAAGTCATCGACTCACTGATTTTGTTACTGTGTTTCTTTTGGGAATATCAATTTGTAGGGATTTGGGCAGGACAACTTGAATTGTAATAGTACATTTGAAGCAGCATGTTTCCTCAGCATATATAGTTCCGGACCGGACGTTAGAATGTCAAGTTGGAAAGTGCGGATGGAACACCAATTTAAAGTTTCAATAGGGGATTGCACTTAGGAGGCATTCTAACTGAAGCCTGCATTTTTACTTTTTTTGAGCTTGGGTCGTTGATATTTTTTAAAACAGATACAACAGTGTTAGCAAAGTTTGTTGAGCCCTTGTTTTTATTGGATTTATGCATGTAAATGTCATTTCTTGCCCGGATCCAGCTCGATTCAGTGGCTTGAACTGACGATTTGCTAAACATTGCAGAAAGGAAAAAAGGGAGGAGACACAACGACAGGAAAATGAGACATCCTATCCTTTTCATTGTTCCATTTGCATTTCCTTTTCGTCTTCCTTTTCTTTTCCTCTTCCTTGTCCTTTCCTTTTGCCGCTTTCCTTTTCCTGTCTCATTGTTCTTGACATTTCCTATTCTTTTGCCTTTGTCTCCTTCCCGTTCCTTTTTCTTTTCCTTTCTCCTTTGTTTTGTGTCCTTTCCGTTTTTCCTTTTCTGTTTCTTTTCCCCTTCCTTCTCCTTTCTGCTGCCATGTCCTGTTCTTAGCCGTTTTGTCCTTTTCCTTGTTCCTCTTCCTTGTCCTTTTCATGTTCCTGGACCCTCTTCCTTGTACTTTCTTTTTGTTTGTCTATTCTGTAGGTTGCAAAGGCTGGGCACATATGTTGTTTGCAAATCATTGCAAATCTACTGTAAGCATTCGTACACACACGCACAGACGGACAGTTAGAATGCTGGTCTTGATCCCGCAAATTGCAGCAAGGACAGGAGGGAGAAGAAACAATGACAGGTCTGACGGTGTGATCACCGGTTGAAGACATGACCTCATACCGAGGCATTTTGTTCGAGCGCAAAAGATCCGTGAGTTTTGTGAAGAGGGTTATGAGCCCAAATCACGACCTTTTTTAGGCTAGGCCCAGGCCGCAGCCATGATGGAGGTTCGCTGCAGGTGAATCCTTCGTGGTCGGACAGGCTCAAAGCCGAGGTGGAACTGCGGTCGCGAAGACCAGAAGATCTACCCAGTCCCTGCCGATGAAGGCGACTTGGACTTGGAGGCCGAGCCCGTGCGGGATGTGAGCATGGGTGCATCTGGAAAAGGACGCGGCTGAGCGTCGCTTGGAGGAGGGTCTTTGAGTGTTGGTGGCAGGTTGTTTGTCACCCCGCCGAGCCGCCGTCACGGAGATGGTCGGGGCCATGCAGGGGGCAGGAGGTCGGATGGAACCATGCCGACAGGCACCACCACGGCTGAAGAGAAGATGGGGTTAGGTGTAGAAGGGCCTGTCAAGACTACTGAAGGTCCTCTTCCCCCGAAGCCGGGACCCAGCCAACGACAAGCAGCGGAACCGGATCATCTTCAGAGGGCATTTGAAGCTGAAATGGTCACCTTTTTGAGGGAGCAAAACGCTATGTTGATGGATGAGGTTGAAAGCTGAAACAACAGCAGGTCATGCATGGCAGCGCCGCTTCTTCGTCGATCCCGTCATCGTGGGAGCATTTGGATGGTGGGCTAGGCGGATCCGGTGTTGGAGAGAAGGTCGCGGTTCGGTCCATGCATGTTGAGCCTCTTCACTCATGAAGTAGGAATGCCTCCATTTCTAACACCTAGCAACTTGGCTGAACAGTTGAAGGGGTACGAAGTGATGGCTGCTGCTTGGCAGGAGGGAGGGGAAGGTTTTTGCTCCTCGGGCCACTCACGGAGATGATGGTGCCTCTCGGCTTGAACAAGAAGTGGCAGCGCAGCCACCCACTCTGAAGGCCCTTCCAATATGCGTTTGAAGCGTCGTCGGTCTGCGCGTTTGTGTTCTTTGAATGCAAAATTGTCAATTTTCCAGAACTTCACAATTGGGTTTGATGGGTGTTCATGTGACAACTGTTTGCCATTGTATACATGTCTCCGATGGAGTGTTCAGTAGTTGGCGACCGCATTGACTGGCAGGCTTCTTTTGCGACGATTCAGGGGACGGTTGCCCAGTTTGACTCTGTGAAAGACCAGGTCCATGCCTCAAGAGGGATTTCAATGGCGTCAACGGCAACGCGGAAGCAACCGAATGCCTTCACGTTTCTCCGGCACATTGAAGTGTTGAAGGACTCCGGTTGTTTGGATCAATCCACAGCAGAACCAAGTCTGTGAAAGAGGATTTTGGTTTCCCCGTTTTTTTTGGCACAGCTCCTAATTACTATTGTTTCTAGGTTGAATTAGTTTCCTTATAAAGAATGATATCAGATATCGTCCTGTCACTCTCAGACCAAAGTTTCAACATGGTTTGATGATAGGCAGCCCGTCGTGCAAGGATTGGGAGAGTGCTTCGTCAGTGGCAAAAGCTTTCGCGATCGGACCCAGAGAAGCAGGCGCTGTTTCCAATTTGCAGAGCAAGGTTTCGAGCTATGTGGTGAGGCAGCTTCGAGAAGCCATCCAGCTTCGTGGTATGCGTCCTTTCGTGACACACGAGGCAATCGCTAAGAGTGTTTTCAACCGCGGCTACACCTCGGGTGTAGGAGAGCTGGAGGCATGGCGTCACCAACTGTCGAATCTGGACGACGATCGCTTGGACACTGGGATTATTTAATTGGCGATTTTTGAATGACTGGTGGTTGCTTCTTTTTTTTGCCAGCTATGTTACGGGGGGAAAGGTCATGCAGGGATTAGGGGTGTGGGAGAGGGTTGGGCACGTGCGCCAAGGTCTCGCTGCTGTTGAGGCGCTTGGTGGAAGATTGGGACAGGCAACCAGCGGGAATCAAGCAGGCTTGGGGCTTCAAGGCCGTTTCGCAGTTGCACGCTACTAGTGGATGCTTTCTTCATGCGATGGATGAGTTGAAGACCAAGCTGTCAGAGAAGGACTACGACGACATCACGGAGCCAGCTGAGCAACAATTCATGAACCAGCTTATGGACAGCGACTTCATGAACATCATGAGTGGCAGTGTTCCTCCAATCGCGCTTGCTTCGGTTCCCTTCTTCAGGCACCATTTCTTTTGTGGAGACCGCATGGGTTTGTCAGCCAAAAATGAAAACAGTGACCATCGGTAACATCAGTAGTCCGTTTTTTGTAAGCTGTATGTCAGATTGAAGCGACGCGAGCCTTGCCAGGGATGTCATCGGCAAGAACGAAAAGCGAATCGCCAATGAGACAGAAGCGCGTAACCTGGAGCTGGCTCGCAAGGTAGCCGACGCGACTTTGGAGGAGATGAAGGTGAAGCTGGAGGCTGACCTGGCGACTCTCAAGAAGCGCATTCCTTCGCGCGAACAAGAGATTATGAATGCTGCCTTGGATGTGCAGTACGTTCAGAAACGCCAAAAGACCTTTGAAGTTACTTCAAATTATTTTTGTGGACCACCATCATCCATATTGAAGGTGCAAAGATTTTGTGTTCATTAATGAGTGGTTCCATATTCCAATATCATCAATTTAATGTTCAGGACGGGAAATGCTTGGGTCGCCGATTGGATGAGCAAGTGGTGCACCGTTGAGTTCGTGGATGAGAAAATGAAATCGGTGACGGTGAACTTTTCCAAGTTCATGGCGCAGCTGTCCGGATCTCCGGGAAAGACGTCCTTAGGCTAAATATGCTAAATTATGCTAAATTCATTTCCCCTAAAGGATCATGATGTTCCTGTGGTGAATAGGTGCAACGTACAATGGTTACTTTTTGTCAAATTGCTTTCTACGAGGCTGGTCATTGTGTCTTTGGATGCAACTTTGTGGCCTGCCAAAGCCGCGCTGCTTTCCTCTG